ATATTTCTTGAAAGAGTAAGTTTACATGCTGCGGGCCTTGTCTTCACCTCCCACTCATTCCTCAGCCCACAGCAATCTGGCACCCACTCCCACCACTCCTCAGAAAATGCTGTCTGTGAAGTCCTGGAAGCCCTCTTAATTTGGCAAATCCTGTAGTTCCTTGTCCATCCCCATCTTGCCTGACCTCTAGGTAACATTCTGCACTGTTATTCCCTTCTCTCCTTAAATTCGCCCTTGCACGATTTCCTTGACACTGCCTGCCTCAGCTGCAGTTTCTCTCCCTGCTTCTCTGGTCTTCCTGTCTCTCCTCTTAAATATGGTCTTCCTCATGCCTTCAGCCACCCAACTAAATGCTTGCGGCTCCCAAACTTATATCCCCATGTGCAGTGTGTTAGGTGAGAGTAAACTGAATTCGGGTTGATGTTGGTTCGGATCCAGGCTCTGCCCTCATGTGTTCTCTCTTGCTTCAGGCCCCTTCTCTGCCAAGTGGGGTTCCCATTAGTTCTGACCTCATAGGGTGGGTGTGAGAGCTAAAGCCTTGGCTGAAGTAGGTGTTCTGTGAACAGTAGCTGTTGTTTTTATTGTGATGATGATGATGATGGTGATGTCATTCCCTTACTTAAAAGTCTTCATTGGCCATTCTTTTCCTACAGATAAAATCAAATTGCTGACTCTGGCTTTCAGAATTAGCCCACAGTCTGAGGTCCCAGCCTTTTCCTTCTATGTTAATGCCGTTTTTCTCCCATGTAAAACTCCACATCAGTGCTTTCATTTCCTTTGGAGTGGTCCTCAATGCTGCATACAGAATGGGCAATAAAGGAATTCATCTTTAACTTTGACAGTTCCTGCATACAGTAGGTACTTAGTACCTAGGAGTCCATTTGTTAAATGAACAACCACATCAAACATTAGAAACACATTCCCAACTCTTATTCTTGCAATATTAGGCTGTCAGCCCAGAATCAGTGTAAACCTCCTTTGAATCTAGTTACATTTCACCTTGTACTGCTCCTCAGCATAATTAGCTCCAGGAATCGACTTCCTCTGAGCAGCTGTGATTCTATGAGACCTGCTTGGGAAGTAATATTGAACCAGCATGAGAAGGCAGAGGCTGGCCATCTTCTGGTGGGGACCTGGGCTCAGTTATGCCAATGGGTATTTCTGTGGCCTGGGTACACCCCTTAACTTCTGAGCTCTAGTGTCCTCCTTTCATTAAAATGGTCCTGATTATCTTCATCTTTTAGGGTGGTCTTAGAGGTGAAGCGAGACTACATTTAGAGAAGAACATTGTGGATTTACTAATGTCCCAAACTCACCTCTCAGATTTTAATATTTCCTTTTATGGAAGTTGACCAGGTCAGTTTCCTCCTATTAAAATTTAGTAAGTTGCCCTGCTGGTGTGGCTCAGCGGTTGAGCATCGACCTATGATCCAGGTGATCAAGGTTCGATTCCCAGTCAGGGCACATGCCCAGGTTGTGGGCTCGATCCTTAATAGAGGGCGAGAGGAGGCAGCACATCAATGACTCTCTCATCATTGATGTTTCTCTCTCTCCCTTCCCCTCTCTGAAATCGATAAAGACATATATATTTTTTTAATTTTAGTAAGTATATGAAGTCCATCTCTTGAAAAGCCTTAACCTGTTTACCCTGTCCTTATCCAGAAGATCCCACATTTCCCCATCACATTGGCACATCTCTGGACCTTTTCCACTTTATTCTTTCTTTGTTGAGATGAGATGACCTGATGATCACACACTCGTGTCCACAGGGTGGAGCAAGGGAAATATGGGCCATGTCTCATTCCAGAGATGATCCTGATGTAACCCAGCATAGTGGTTAGAGATGTCGACTCTAAAGTCATACTTCCTGGGTTCAAAGCCCAGGTGCACCACCATGGCAAATTACTCTGATCCTCAGTTTCCTTAGCTGTAAAATGAGGATATTAATAGTTTCTACCTTTTAATTGTTATGAAGATTAAATGAGTTAGTATTTGTAAGGCACTTGGATTTGTGCCCAGTAAAGACGTATTTCTTAAGTAAATATCTTAAGTAAATATCAGAGAACAGAAGTGACATGACTCCATTATCTCTTCCTTGGGCATTCAAAGTAGTCAAAGTATTTTCTCTTCTAGAAGCAGCAATTGCTGTCCTGAAGGTTCATTTAAATTTTAGCATTACTCATTCATTCATTCACCAAATATTTATGGCTCTTCAATTATCTTCCAGATACCTTATTGATCATAGGGTACAAAACTATTTACAAAGCATGCCCCAGTGGTATCCTGGAGCTGGCTCATACCGGCTCATGAGATCCAATTATTCAGTTTTCAGGAATTTTGTGAGCCACAGTTGTTGGTAGCTTGAAATCTACTGCAGTTGTGTTTACACCACAGGAATCTGCCAAAGCTACAAATCACCCCCACTCCCACCCCCAGCCAGTGTACTGGCCCACCATTACAGAATAGTGGAAGAGGCAGATGCTAGGCAAGTACTCACAAAAATGAATGGGAGGTTGGAGATTCTCATACATGCTGCAAAGGAGAGGTCTGTGGTGCTAAGAGAGCTTGTTACTGAGAGATCTGACCTTGTCAAGGAGACCAGGGAGGGTTCCCTGAGCGAGTGACAGATGAGCTGAAGCCTGAAGGGAGAGGTGCAATCTACTGTATGCAGAGGGGGTTGGGGGTCCTGAAAGATGATCACTGAGGCTGAGGCTGGGTGTGGAGCGTGGAACAAGATGTGCCTGAAGGGGAAAAGTTTTAGCAGTGAGTGACATGAGCATATTTGCATTGTTAAGATACTACTGTGGTCACAGTGTGAAAAGTAGATTATGGGGCAGGATGGGGGTAGTAGAGAAGCTACTACAGCTATCCAGGCAAGAAATAATGGGAGCTCAGACAAGGGAGATGGCAATGGAGAGGGAGAGAGAAAGGTGGAGTAAAGCATGGGAGTGGGCGTGGGAACTAAACCCACTGGACTTGGCCTGGGGCTAGACATGGAGGGTGAGGGAGGGAAGGTGTCAAGAATGTCTCACCAGTTAGGGGAACTCTAGCATCCTGCTGCAGGGGTGATGGTCCTGCTAACTTTATACTGATTCACCCACTGCTGGCTCACTAAGGGAATGAGAAATTAGAACCACTGGACCAGTATACTTTCCTCAATTGTGTGAATGGCTGCTGGACCAAAAACCTATATATCAAAGCCAGGATCAAAGAGAGGAAGCAAAAAGGCATCAGGTACCTGAAAAACTTCCTCCAGTCCTCCAGTCTGGATAATCTGCAGGAGGTGGAGAGCTCCTCAGCACTGGAGATGCAGTAGTGGAAGCTGGCCTGGACATGGCAGGGAGACCACAAGGGAACTTGAGGTTGGGGTTTTCCAATCATTAGAGTCTCTGAAAACACAGTTTTCTGCCTTACCTTGCCTCATTA